CCCAAGATCTCAAAACATGTCATCTGCAAGTGTGTACTGATCATGCCGATGCCTTCCCGCGATCATCACTAGTACCTGAAACACATAACACACAAACAGTAAGCATAAATGCATAGTGAGTTCCCCAAAATACCATATACAACACATACGCCTTTTTAGGCCATAACTCTATATGATCTCCAATCCAAGTGTCTCAAGGGATTTCCATCCCATAACTCTGTTGACCTTCCGACCCATACTTTGTTGACATTCCGGTCTATATCATCATACTTATATCATAACATATCACATATATAACATGCATCACATAAACATCATACACATAAGACCTTCCGGTAACACCTAGTTACCCCATCGGGTATGGCATAGTGAGAAGACTCACTTCGCTGATGTCGGATAATCACTCGAGCTCGATTCCCCGATGTATCTCCTCCTATATCATAAGTACATCTCTAATTAATACCTTCCTGACTTAGTTTGAATCCATTCTGACTCACCGAGTCACTCACCCAACTCGGTGAGTCATCCACTGATCTGAGTCACATGACAACCCGCTCCGACTTGTCGAATCTGCTCATGGACTCGACGAGTTCGTTTCATGCACAACCTCAAACAACATTCTGTGGTCAGATCTATTCCTCTAATCCTTAGATCTAACCTTTCCAAGCTCAATAATCACGTAAAGTCTCTATCTTGATGTACATGCAACATCTATATGACCATATATGATGATTTAGCCCCAAATACCACAACCCAAGGTCATAACCTCTATTGCTCTGCATAAAGCTTGATGAGTGAGGCTCTCTGGACCTCTATGGATCTAGATCCAGAGCCTTATCACCAGAAAGGGACTATTTGGACATCAAATCAACCTAACAAAGGCCACAAGAAACCCTAAATCCAAATATACTTCATAAAAGAGAAGATGAGCCGAATTAATACCTCAAATGCGATGATCTTAGCTTCAAATCCACAAAATAGCAACCTCCTTTGCTTCCTCTTGGTTAGGACCTCCTTCTTCTTGCTAAACAACACCACAAAGGTCAAGAATGGCTTCCTTTCTCTCTCAAAACGCTCAAGCACTCTAGGGTTTCTCTCTATGGACTGGTAGCCGCAAATGAAGGCCATAAGGGCCTTTAATTAGGTCCCAAACCCGACAAATTAGGGTTTCTCTCTGACTCGGCGAGTCGCTCCCCTGACTCGTCGAGTCCCCTCATTGACCACGTCATC